TCGCTTTTCCATGATCGTTCCTCATTTTTTGGCATTTTAGGGCCATAAAAAAGGAATTCCGCACTCTTTCCAGATCTTCGTGTGCTATATAGCCACACCATCTGCATGCATCCAGGTGATCGAACCCGAATCGCATGAATTTTGCCGGCCTATCAAAGATGTACTAAGGAACAATAGTCATTATTTCACCATGAGCGTTCCTCATTTTATGGCATTTTAGGGCCATAAAATAGAAATTCTGCACCATTCAAAGATTTTCGTGTGACATAGCCTATGCCATCTGCATGCATCTAGCCGACTGGACCTGAATCACCTAAAATTTTGTCGGACCATCAAAGACAACTTAATAATATTCATCGCATCGCCATGACCGTTCCTCATTTTTTGGCGTTTTAAGGTCATAAAATAGGATTTCGGCATCATTCCCAAATTTTTATGTGCTAAAGCCCACGCCATCTAAATGCATCCGGGCGACCGAACCCAAATCGCCCAAAATTATGTTGGTCCATCAAAGACGACCTAAGGAACAATAACCATCGTTTCTCCAAGACAGTTCCTAGTTTTTTGATATTTTAGGGCCATAAAACAGGAATTTCATACCATTTCTAGTTTTTCGTGTACTATAGCCCATGCCATCTGCATGTATCTAGGGGAACTTACCCGAATCGCCTAAAATTTTGCCGGCTCATCAAAGACAACCTATGCAACAACAGTCATCGATTCGCCATGATCGTTTCTCATTTTTAGGCATTTTAGGACCATAAACTGGAATTTTGCATCATTCCCAGATTTTCGTGTGCTATAGCCCAGCTCATCTGCATGCATCCAGGTGACCTGACCCGAATCATCTAAAATTTGTCGGCCCATAAAAACTACCTTAGGAAAAATAGTCATTGTTTCGCCATGATCGTTCCTCATTTTTGGCATTCTAGGATCATAAAACAGGAATTCCGTACCATTCCTAGATTTTCGTGTGCTATAGCCCACACCATCTGCATGCGTCCGGGCGATCCGACCCGAATAGCCTAAAATTTTGTCAGCCCATCTAAAATGATCTAAGGAATAATAATCATCACTTCTCCATGACTGTTCCACATTTTTTAGCGTTTTAAGGCCATCAAATAGGAATTCCACATCATTCTCAAATTTTTATGTGTTATAACCCACGCAATCTGCTTGCATTTGGGCGACTAGACCCAAATAACCTAAAATATTGTCTGCCCATAAAAAACAACCTATGAAACAATAGTTATTGCTTTTCCATATCCGTTCCTCGTTTTTTGGCATTTTAGGTCCATGAAACATAAATTCCCCACCATTTTCTTATTTTCGTGTGCTATAGCTCACACCATCTGCATGCATCCGGGCAACCGGACCTGAATCGCCTAGAATTTTGTCGGCCCACCAAAAATGACCTGACGAACAATAGTCATCGCTTTGTCATGACCGATCCTCGTTCTTTGGCGTTTTAAGGCCATAAAATAGGAAATCTGCACCATTTCCATATTTTCGTGTGCTATAGCATACGCCATCTGGATGCATCCGGCCCATCGGACTCGAATCACCTAAAATTATTTTGGCACATCAAAAACTACCTAAGCAATAAAAGGCATCATTTCGCCATGACCGTTCCTCATTTTTAGCATTTTAGGACCACACACCATTCCCGGATTTTTGTGTATTACAACCCACGTCATCTACATCCATCCGGGTGAGCGAATCCGAATCGCCTAAAAATTTTGCAAGCCGTTAAAAATAACCTAAAGAACAATGGTCATCGCTTCGCCATGAACGTTCCTCGATTTTTAGCACTTTACAGTCATAAAATAGGAACTCAGTACCATTCTCAAAATTATGTGTACTATAACCCACACCATCTGGGATTGCAAGAAGGACATATGCTTGGGCTGAAGAGATTAAGTAGGCAACAAAATATGTCAAAGGCAAAGGACCAAAAGCTGTGATCTATAGAATGAGCATTACGGGTGCTGTCTATCATTTGTGGATGGAAAGGAACCGAAGAATTTTTCAGCAGAAAAGGAGTTGCAGTGAAGACATTACTAGAAAGATAATTCAAGAAATACATTGTATAGGCAATAGGCGGAGTAGTTTGAGGAAAGAAATGCATAACTTGAATTTTTACCCATAGGTAGAATGATGAGAGATAGGATGAGAGTCTACTGAGTTTGGGGCTGTTTTTCCAAACTTAGGAATCTATTTATACTTGTAAATATTTTACGTGGTAATAAAAGTTTAATTACCAAAAAATAATAATAATAACCCACGACATCTGCATGCATACGGGCGAATCGGACCCGAATCGCCTAAAATTTTGCCGTCCCATCAAAAAAGACCTAAGGAATAATAGTCATCGATTCGCCATGACTGTTCCTCGTTTTTTGGCATTTTATGGCCACAAAATAGGTATTCTACACCATTCCCAGATTTTTGTCTGTTATAACCCACGCCATTTACATGCATCCGGGCGACTGGACCCGAATTGCCTAAAATTTTGTTAGCCCATCCAAAACGACCTAAGAAACGAAAATCATTGCTTCGCCATGACCGTTCCTCGTTTTTTGGTATTTTAGGGCCATAAAATAGGAATACCGCACCACTCCCAAATTTTCGTGTGCTATAGCCCACGCCATCTACATGCATCCGGGCGACCGGACCTCAATCGCCTATAATATTGCCGACCCATCAAAAAAACACTAAGGAACAGTAGTGATCGCTTTGCCATGATCGTTCCTTTTTTTTTTGCATTTTAGGGTCATAAAACAGGAATTCCGCACCATTCCCAGAATTTCATGTGCTATAACCCACGCAATCTGTATGCATCCGGGCGACTGGATCCGAATCATCTAAAATTTTGCCGGCCAATCATAAACAACCTAAGAAACAATATTCATCGCTACACCATGACTTTTCTTTATTTTTTGGCGTTTTAGGGCCATAAACAGGAATTCCGCATCATTCCCAATTTTCGTGTGCTATAGCCCACGCCATCTACATGCATCCAGATGATCGGGTCCAAATCGCCTAATATTTTTTCGGCCCATCAAAACGACCCTTAGGAACAATAGTCATCGTTTTGCCCTGACCATTCATCGTGTTTTGGCATTTTAGGACCACAAAATAAGATTCCTCACCATTCTTAGATTTTTGTGTGCTTCGGCCCACGCCATCTGCATGCATCCAGGCGACCGGATCCGTATCGCCTAAAAGTTTACCGGCCCATCAAAAACGTCCTAAGGAATAATCGTCATCGTTTCTGCATGACGGTTCCTCGTCTATTTGCGTTTTAGGGCCATTATACAGGAATTCCGCACATACCATCTGCATGCATCAGGGCGATCGGACTTGAATAGCCTAAAATTTTGTCGGTCCATAAAAAAGACCTAAGGAACAATATTTACCTTTTTGCCATGATCGTTCCTAATTTTTTGGCATTTTAGGGCCATAAAACAGAAATTTCGCACCATTCTCAGATTTTCGTGTGCTATAACCCATGCCATTCGCATGCAACCGGGCGACCGGACCCGAATTGCCTGATATTTTGACAGCTCATCAAAAATGACATAAGGAACAATAGTTTGCTCATTTTTTTACGCTTTGGGACCATAAAATAGGAATTCTGCACTATTCCCAGACTTTTCGGGTGTTATAGCACATGCCATCTGCATTCATCCAGGCGACTAGATCCCTTAAAAAACGACCTAAGGAACAATAGTCATCGCTTCGTCATGACCGTTCCTCATTTTTTGGCGTTTTAAGGCCATAAAACAAGAATTCTACACCATTCCCAAATTTTTGTGTGTTATAGTGTACGCCATCTGCTTGCATCCGGACGACTGGACTAGAATCGCCTAAAAGTAGTCATCGCTTCGCCATAATCGTACCTCGTTTTATGCATTTTAAGGCCATAAAACAGGAATTCCTCTCCATTCCCAGATTTTCGTGTGTTATAGCACACGCCTTCTGCATACATCTGGGTATCGAACCCGAGTCGCCTAAAATTTTGCCGGCCCATAAAAATGACTTAAGGAACAATAATCTTCGCATCTCTATGAATGTTCCTCATTTTTTTTTTGGCGTTTTAAGGCCATTAAAGAGTAATTCCGCACCATTTCCAGATTTTCGTGTGCTAGCCCACGCCATTTGCATGCACCCTGGTGAATGGACCCAACTCGCCCAAAAGTTTGTCGGCCCATCAAAAACGTCCTAAGGAACAATTGTCATCGCTGTGCCATGACCGTTCCTCGTTTTTTGGAGTTTTTGGGCCATTAAACTGGAATTACGCACCATTCCCATATTTTCGTGTGCTATAGCCCACGCCTTCTGCATGCATCCAAGCGACTAGACTCGAATCGCTTAAAATTTTGTCGGCCCATCAAAAATGACCTAACTTCATGATGTTATTATCTATTTATCCTGGAGTTTTAGTTATGAAATTTGAAATTCCATGATAACGGTTATTTTTCAGTACCTTACTGATAAGTGGCTATCCCTTAATATTACTATGCAAAGTTTGGCAAGCTACAATCTATTTGGATAAATAACTTGCAGCAAAAATACTTGATCTAAGTATTAACTTGCAGTAGAAATACTTGATCTAAAGGTAAGACGCCTGTTTCTTAGGCGACGTGCTTAAAAATTCCGAGTAACTTTGAATTTGAAACAAATCAGTTATAACAGCATAGATTGGATTAACGGGTAAAACACATTACTAATATACTCAAGAGATAGAAATTTAAAAGAACAATTCTACGTACATTTTGCATATTGTTACTAAACGTTACACAATAAAAGTAAAGTTACAATTTGTTTGTCACATTGAAGTAACTGAACTATGAGTTGAAGTAACTGAATTATGCGTGAACCGTTTAGAATGCCATTAAATTTTCAACGTCAATGTATGACCCATTACTCCACACATAAACACATTGCAAGTCGGTAAATTTCACGACATAAAGCTTAAAATAAAAATAAAATAAAAAAGAGGGGATGCCAATTTTCAACTATTTCTCACAAAACCAAATCATGAATGAAACTTACAATGTTAACATGTTTGGTAAATACCTCATGAATTACAGAGCCCAGATTTGATACAATTGCCTGACCTAAGGAGTATACTATGTTACTCGAACTCTCCGAAAATATTGTCGGGTACATGTCGGATCCTCCAAAAGTAGTGTATTTTGAAGGATCCGACATAGGTGCAACATTATTTTGAAGAGTCCGTGCAACATAGGGAGTATATATTGGTTAGATCAGAAGCTCTGGGAGCTAAAAAATAATAATTTACATGAATTTACGGAGAGAAACTACAGAAACTATCTACAACAAGAAAATAAAAGAGGGAAAAAACAAACAAATATGTTATGCTACTCCCCGTGGATCATGACAGACTGAAAGGGTACTCTCTTGATTTCAACAAAGGTTGAAAATTCCTTGCTCATAGGTTGTTTCCATGGTTCACCATCCATCTGCATATACGCTTCTTTCCATTCGCCACCTCTCAATTCAAACCTAATTGCTGAAGCCTAGTGAATAGAAACAGATATTTTTGGTTAAACCTGAATCAATAATGTCAAACAACTCCGACCAGCAGTGGTTGCAGTAACAAAAAAAATGTCTTAAAACAAATGGACTGATGAAAACATGAACATGAGTTATGACATTCTCTCTGCAAAATGTGCGTGTGTGTGTGTGTGTGTGTGAGAGAGAGAGAGAGAGAAAGAGAGTGTGCACGCTTGTGAGAGTGAAGACAACAAATCACTAAAACATATGAAATTTATTAAAGTGGCAGAAAAGCAATAAACTCTAACATATGCGTTTATCAATGAAGTTTCTAGATCTTGCATCTACTTATCGAGGGAATATGAGAATCTAATCTTTTGTGTGTGCACGCGCACGTGTGAGAGAGATTTTATGTGGGTACTCGTGCGAGAGTGAAGAAGGAACGAAAACAAGACTAGTGTTCCATAAGAAGCAAAATGAAGGACAGTAAGACAAGAGGAGAAGAAAATTTCTATCACCCCCCCCCCCCCCCCCACAAATCATTCAGCGTTCGACAGGAAATTATACAAAGCAATGCACGTGATAATTTCATAAAATAGAGAACAGTTTCCAGAGAGCAGAGCATATCTAAATTGATTGCACTGTGATACCTGGGCAATATGTTTGGCGGAGATGAGTTCAACCATAACCATAGAAGCATGCCACCCATGTTTCAGGCCAAATATTTCAACATATCCATCATCTGCATGGGCTTCAACAAAGCCCCTCTGAAATTTCAAAAGCAAGTGAAAAGAAGTCAATATTATTGTTTGTAAATGTTACAGTGGATAATGCCTTCGCTTATTTCAAAATTAGCAACTGATTCATTGAGTAGGATATAGCACTTGGGGTCTTCGGCTCTCATTGAGCTCAATCTTAGTATGGAAATATAGAAAATTCAGTACCCTCAAAGACACTGCTCAATTGTTTATTTTTTCAGAATGCAATAACATCATATTCAGTATTTCAAGCGGAAGGTGACTAAAAATGAAGTTGCTTGATAAAATGAAAGGAACTATCAACTTCTTCTACTTAAAATGTCCACCAAATTTTCAGCCAAAAATCCTAATTAATCAAACATGTCTATTTGTCTACCACGGGCCTGATTTAAGTCAATTGAGGTTCTTACAGCCCTCTGGATACATAGTCCTAAAAGTAAAAGGACAAATGCAAAATGGAAGTGCATCACCATTAGTACAAAAGTCACTGTCTGATGCATCTAATAAAAAAAAGAATACCTTCTCCAAATACTCTGGCTTCAAATTCCCCCATGGATTCCTTCCACTGCCATAGCTTGGAAGATTCAAAGTGACTATAGACCGAACACTACAACATGAATGAATGTAAAGGTCAAGTAAAAGGAGGTATATATACATGTAACAATTCATTAGAAGCACTATTATCAGAATTATGTTTCAGTATGATGACTATATTTGTCAAAATATTCCGAGAAAAACTGAAGAATCCAAGTGATTCTGCATCTTGTGATGGATTTTTTAGTACATTGCTCTAACAGACACCACAGGATGAATGTCAACCTTGAAGGGATAGGGACTTGCTTCCACTTTGAGCTATTGACCTTCTTGACATATAATCGCAGAATGTTATTTAATCCCCTGGATTAAAAAAATACTTCAGGAGATCAGATAATTTTTTATAACCTTCAGGAGATCAGATATATGCTTCAGTAAACTAAACTTAAAACCCAATATATGCTCTAAAATGAAAACAGCAACAATAACAAGCGGTCAAAAGATCTTTCCAAAAACATTTTCTAATGAGCTAATTACACACACCAAAATCCAGTAGAATTGTCCCGAAGAAAAGCTTGGAAGGTAAAACACCATATCTAAATTCTAAAGCCATTGTGTATCGAAAGATGAGGAAGAAGGCATACATTGTATACGAAATACCGCTTATGATATAGCTACCTACAGTAGTATCCACATGGAGCAAGTAATTCAAGTGGAGAGTTAAATTTCTAATCAAGTATAATGCAAGACAACTAGCTCTATATTTAATTAAAGACACGAATCTTCAAGACAAACTACATCTTGTTAATTGTTATTGAGTTGTTAGAAAGAAAATGGAAGTGGTTTTCTTGTGCATGACTTTGGCCGGAAGAACTGTTAGCTTTAAGATACTATAAATAAGGAGCAAACACATGTTAAATCAATCTATCAGGACATTTGTGGTCTTGATAATTAATCTCTTATAGTAATATCATATCAAACCTGTACACACTTGCTATCTTTCATGCCTAAGAATATCAGTATTCTGCATTCAGCGATAGATGTATGTAAATTTGATAGGCCAGCTTGACAAGCAACTCTTTCGATCTGAAGTGCAATGAGAGATATATCTTTTTTTAAGACTAGGAGTAATCGATCCAGGCTACAAATGTCACCAAGCAGGGCCTTGCTGATAGATGAAAGAAATGGTTTATATCTCTAATTTGTTCTGACCCCAATCTATGATGAATTAGACAAGTGAGGGAAGCAAATTGTATGATTATGCATGTAGGAAAACAAGGGAAATAGAAACAGTTATGGCATCCGGGATTTGAGTGGATAACTGAGTGAGACAGTTCCAACCTTAAGCCAGGATCGCTGCTACAAGGTGCAAAGAACCAGCCTTGCTTGCAACTATATCCTGAGTAAATCAACTGCAGTAAATATTCTAGTTAGAATCTAGAACCTTGAACCCATGAAATTAAATATAGTATACTATGAAAAGTAAAAGCATCGATTAGTATACACTTCAAAACTTGTATGTCTTTGTGGCATTAGTTTAAAAGGCAAGTAGTGGCTACAAAACATCAAAGGATGGCAACACTTATGCTGCAGTAAGAGCAACAAATCATCGGACAAGCAATACTGACTATAAAACCGCTAGCCATCACATGCATAGAACAAGAGTCTTACGTAACTTTCACTAGATTATCGCATACTACAAACGGAATCAAAGATCAGAACACTATCACAGGATATATTATGCAATTTTCAGTTAGTTAACCAAATACCCTAAATCTATCAAGAGAAACTGAAGACTTTAAAATCTCCAACGAAAAGTAACCCAAGCAGAAGAAACTGAGTACTGATCTTTAAAAAAATGAGAGATCAAACTTTTCGCTGATCTTCCTTCAACAGGAAAAACTTCAATTCCTAAACATGTAAGATTCTTGATTTAATAGGTATTCTGGTGAGTCTCTCCATTAAAATAGGTCACACTCAAATCCTTAAAGACAAAACAAGAATGCAAAAGAAAATCCAGATAAACATCCATGCTAGTCACTACAGTACTTCATAAGAACCAATAGCGGGAACTAAAACAGAAAAGTATTTTCTCCAAGCTCTATCTTCAATTAGATACCCAAGATGTGTTCAGGAACTGATGAGCTATAAATTTCAACAAGAAAACATATTCATTGCTTGAATGAATAATGGAATATCCACTTGCAATATTCAAAAATTTTGTATTGTCCTCTTACCAAATAAAATGAAAAAGACAAAAAACAACAAAAAAAATGGAAGCAATGCGACTAGAGGAAAAATTCAATACAAATACTTTCTTGGTGGTTCCACCGAACGTCAAATTACATGTATTGTTCAATTTAAAAAGCACAACTAAAAATATGTCAGCACAGGCATGTGTTACCAAAACTTTGGTTCCCAATTTCTAAACTCCACATTAGAAAGCCATCTTGTGCAAATTGATCACCTAGATTTAAGTGGAAAGAGTTGAGATCCTATTACTTGAATTATAGCTCAGTCGATATATGGCTTCCAAGGTTTTATGGGTCTTTGGAGAAACTTTATTCTGTTAGTACAGAGGCCCTTTTAGTGTTCACCAAGTATTACACATCTGGGACTGAAGTTTGCTTCACTTCAGACATATGTCCCTTTCCTTGTTAGAGGTGTTGCTGGTAGCCTGGTACCACATTTCTTCATTTTGAGAAGTATGTATGCTTTATCAAGTTGAATTTAAGAAGCTAAAAGATCAAGCAACTTTTTAAAAAAAACTAAAAAAATGAACCAGTTTTTGATCAAGAACGAGAGCGTCAACCTTGTTTGAAAGAGGACCTTGAGCAAGGTATGGCTTTTCATTGCGTAGATGGTGAAAACCATAGGCAACTTGCGCGTCCATTCCTGAAATATTAGTGGTAAAGACAAATTGTCACAGCTGCTTGTTTATCACATATTGTTGAACAAAAAGAAAAAAAATAAGTATGACACTGAGTAAACAGGCAATTTCTTTGTTGATATTCGATTTTATTACCTTGTCTAGACAATGTCTTTTCTTCTTGAGGCAGGGTAAGTTGGTATTAGACACCAAGAGCCATTATTTTGTGGTTAAAATAATTCCCCCCCCCCCACCCCCCCTATCCCAATTGGTTTGGCATCATGTCCCTGTATACAGATTTTTGGGATGTATAGGAAAGAGTGCAACCTTATCTAGCATCTGGCCCTATCACTTTAGTAGCAGCAGTAATTATAGTTTCAATAACTCCAAATAACAACTGTTGTTCTCAAAACTAGCAAAAGTGGTGGTACAATGGTGGTGATAGAAACTATTTTTCTGTTTTTTAGCAACTCCAAATATTAACACTGGAAGACCAAGTGCTGGTGGAGGGAGTATATGTATTTGTAGAGGCACTGCCAACTAAGAATAGTAACATCAGCTTAAGCTATAAGATTTAATCAATATAGATAACAAGATTCACATAAAGAAGTGGTTTTGCCAGAATTGATTGTGGATTTTCTAGTATTCATACAAATCTAAAGAATTTTATATTTTTCTAATAAAATCAATGACACTGATCTATATAGACCAGTCACATGTCTTGCCAGATAGTAGCAAATAAATGTATATAAAGTAATAAATCATGATGTCGAAATTACTTTGATGCTCTAGTTAGACCAAGTTACTGTTGCACACCTATGCTAAAGTAATTGTAAAATACTCCTTGATAGTAGGACGACTTCTCTGGTAATTGCCCATCAACTTCCAATTCCTGCACAACCAACATCGTAGATGAATTAGTAGAAACGGCTAGAAAATTAAATATGTTCACCATGACTCAATTTAAAGTAATTTTATTTTCAAAAAGATGGAGGTTTATCCTTAAGGCAGTTCATTGACGGAATGAACCTTTGGCATATCCATTCAATCAAAACAAGGAATGAAACAAAAAAACATATGATACCTTGCAACTTGCAAGTTGACAGAAAAAAAGAAGATGCGTGTACTAAACCAATATATGGAGACGCTCGTTTTAGTTGAGCATCTAACTATACCAAAACACTAACCACACAAGCAAAAGTATATAGGGATTGCTGTAATATTACATTTAAAAAAAAAAAAAATCATCCAAGTGATACTTAGACGCTAAATTCCCAAGAAACGTTTAGTAACCATATCCTTGAAGCATAACTAATTTACTAGGACCAATGAACTAGCACTGTACGAACAATAAATGACTTCAATCAAGACAAAATAAGTACTCCCTCCGTTCCAGTTTATGCGAACCTATTTCCTTTTTGGTCTGTTCCAAAAAGAATGACCTCTTTCTAAATTTGGAAACAATTTAGCTTAAACTTACAATTCTCCCCTTAATGAGAAGCTTTTATAACCACACAAATACTCTGGACCCCTTTTTGACTTGTTTAGGACGACAAATTCCAAAAGTCTTCATTTTTTCTTAAACTCCGTGCCCAGTCAAACAGGTTCACATAAATTGGGACGGAGGGAGTATATATTAACAAGTCTCCATGCATTGATTTCCTTGGGACCCTATGAAATAGCACCGAACAAACAATAAATGACTTTCATTTGGAGAAGCATAAGTATATATTAACAAATTTACAGCACATTGATTTCCTTAAACTGCAAATTGGCTACGCCAAATTGCAAATCTCACAAGGCACTTTTGGGCCCCAAGTAGTACATTAACCATGAAGTTGGTAGTTTAGCACACTGATGACCAAAAGTGGCGAGGAATGACTCGTTGACAAACTCCCATTCTGTCAACTGGGGAAAAGACATGCACTGTAGATGCTTCTGGAGTCATCTAGCGTGCTGCAAATAGCAGAGTGAGTGATCTTTATGGCTCAATAAACACATGCTTAGATTGTAGGTCCTCTAGTATCAGTTTTCTAGTTGGTGAGATAGTCATTGGATTCGACAGGCAGCAGCTGCATGCTATTTCGCCAATAATAAGCTGAGAGCAGCTGGCATGGAAGAAGATTAAGCAAAGTACAATTTTTAGCACTGTGGATGTGGTGCTCATACTAAACGATCAACAACATAAGATAACGAGCTACAAGTATACATCTAACCGGATGTAATAAACTTTATGAAGGAAAAAACATGTGGTGAGAAATTACCAGAGACAAACGAAATTAGGGAATAGGTTTTACTCCAGATTACTATACTATTAAGGACGATAATGACAGATTAGGACCAAGACTACCAATGCATGTCCATTCGAGGTACCAGAATGAGTTTCAAAACAATGGATAAATCAATCACCTGATCAAGAGATGCACACTCCGAAGGTTTTAAAGAATAAGGTGTCTCCAAAGCTTCCCCAGCTGGCATTGATATTACAAGATTCCAGCTGCAAATGAAAGCTGCTGTTTGATAAAGTTGCTAAGAGTACGAATGATGTTCAAATAATTAAGGTAGAAGACAAGAAAGAAGAAATGACAACTAAATATCTTATATCCATCCTAAAGTAAACACTTCTTGCAACTGCATGAAATGATATAAACTCGTGTTCTGTTTTACTAAATATCTTCATTGACACATTGATTTTACTACTGACACACAAAGAAAAATAAATTAAAACATTTTCCAACAATAATACAAAGAAATATGAGCCTTACTCATGTTTCAGGTGTATCACGATTAAAAAAAAAAAAAAAGGTTTCAAATTTCAAATAGGAACATAATGAAAAATAGCAGGTGAAATTTAAACTATATATATACTTTTGAAAGCAAATTGCACATCACATTTATAATTTTAGGAGATTGATACCATGGAATTAGAAAAGGGTTTATTAAGAACTATGGATAAAATTAAAATATTCACCTATCTAGACGGCAGATAGGACCATTGGCAACCCTCTCAAGAATTCTTTTCGTGGCTGCCTTCCAGTTAAAAGGAAATGAACCCCCCTGAAAAGAGAAGCCCCACAAATTTCAGAAAAACTAGTCAGAAGAAGAGAAAGAAAGAACTGATCAAGCAAGTTGGAAAAAAGATACCAATAGGAGCTTACCCAACCAAAACTCCTCGACAAGTCATTTCCTGTACCAAGTGGAATTATGCCAGATGGTGGAACTGGCTCCCGATCTTGTTTCTTGAGCTCTCCAAGGCAGCCAAGTACCCACCCAACAGTACCATCACCTCCTGCTGCCTGCAAAACCAGAAAATTACACACATAGCTCCTTGATTACATTGTCCTCTTTGCAACAGTTAAATAATAACAATCTCAAATGCCAGAAAAGAATGCCCTGGGAGAATATGTCGTGTTTAAGAAGGGAAAAGGAGCCATAATTATGTTGCATAGCATGCATACCACGACCCTTATCTTTTCACGAGTCTCTTTTGCACAGGTGTCACCAAGAGCAGCAAACTTCTCCAGGCAACTCAATCCATATTGAACGAATTCATGCGGCTTCACAGCTGAAAGGTCAAAAACCTGGCACAGTTTAACGCAAAGACAGAAAGAAGATCAAAAGAAAAGAAAATCAATGCCATTTGTGAAAGAATGACTATTTAATAAAGATATTACACTATGTGATCATCCAACTAGATGTTTTCATAGGAACAACCTTACAACACAACCAGCTACGTTCTCCCTCCCAAGGAATATCAGAACATAAGAGCCCCATCAGAAACCACAAAGCTCAAAGTTTAGACAATAAGCAACCAGAGCATAGACGAACAATATTCAGGAAAAAGTACCTGTATTATTTCTAACATCTTAAATGTAAGAAATCCTCTCACTTCCAGCGGCACATAATCCAATCACAGATTATGTTCTTGGTAAGTAGAGGAACAGATGGACAGAAAAAAACATCACTCCTAGTTTTCTTTTAGGTCTCGTATTGCCAATGATCCTTCCACTATATTAAGTAGATTTTTCATTTTGCTTACATGCATCAATGTCACGTGGAGATATCTAGGCTCGTTATTCCAGGAGAATGAAATGATAGATGAAAATGTTACACATAGAATCAAAATTGGATGATGGAAATGGAGAAGTGCTTCTAAGGTGTTATGCAACAGAAGGATACCCACCAAAGAGAACGCTAAGTTTCCTACAACAGTTATATGACCAGCAATGTTATAGAAAGTAAATGTTGTGTCATTAAAGTCCAACACATCCACAAGATGAGTGGGATTTGAGGAGGGTAGTGTGTACGCAAACCTTATCCCTACCTTTAAGAAGGCAGATAGGTTTGAAATATTAGTTTTCTTCATCAAAGAAGGCAGAGAGGTTGTAGAACCTCGGCTCAGGAAAGATAAAGTGGATGTGTAGTCACACAAGATTAGAAAAGGTACACCAAAAGCACATGAACGGAAGCTTTTTTGAGAGACCTACAATTCCTTGAAATCCATACCGTCTTCGCAAAAGATAAAGCATAATGGGAGAAAAAGACCTATAGGCAATACCAATTAGTTAGAAATATGTTTAACTTATGTTAGTACATTTATTTTAAGTCTTATGCCTTCTAGGAGTCTTTTCCCCCTATTAGAGATTTTTATGCAAGTGTAATAATATATAGAGAACTTTTAGTGCTCCCTCTATTCCAATCATGTGGCAATGTTTGACTGGGCACATAGTTTAAAAAAGAAATGAAGATTTTTGAAACTTGTGATCTAAAACAAGCCATAGACATTTGTGTGGCTATAAATCAATTTCATTAAGGATAAAATACGAAATTTGAAGTTAAATTGTTTTTAAATAAGTATGATATTTTTTTTGGAACAAACAAAATAGGAAAGTATGACACATAAATTGGGCCATAGTGAGTAATTTTTATTTTGTATAGCGTAGGCATGAGATGAATTTAAAGGAAAGAACATGATTAGTGAGCATTCATATAGCAAATTGTGACTTGTTTGAGATTGAGGTGTAGTTATTGTTGTTTATGTTGTTGCACCAATGTCACACGGGTAAGACAGGGGCGGACGCATGTTAGACTTAGTCTGCAACACCGCTTCATCGGAAAATTTCGCATATACACATAGAAACGATGTACTAAATAGATAAATATAAATCAGATAACACCTCTTCACGTGATGGGTTGCGTGGTCTAATGGTCATGAGCGCCAATTTGCATAATGGAGGTCACTGGTCCGAATCTCACTGCATATGCCTTTTGTGCATTTTTTAAGCCTCTTTTGTTAGAAAGAAAAGATAAAGGTTGTGAAAATCGAAGCCAATACACCAAAGCTGATTTGTCCTAGTTGATGAGATCATAAACAATAATGCTGGAAAGTTACCATTTTAGTAACACAAACAGATTTAGAACCATAATTCTTAAAAATATTACTCCTCCTCTTCTGTAATCTGCAACTTTTAAGTGATTATTTGCTAGTCTTTTTCTTCTCAACTTCTCATCTCTCATGTCGTAATAATAACCGGATCCAACATTTTAACTTAATGGTTTCAACCTTTAAAGTTCTTAACAATAAACTCACTATATCTTTAAGTTAAGAGTTCAAACTCAAATATTTGTGGAAATGTTGTTGTTTTTCACATATATATCTATGATCCATGTCAAAATACTTGGTTCGGTTGAACCGCTAGTTGTAGAGCTGCCATTGGTACTAATGTATTGATCACTTCTTTATACATGCCTAGCTGATATAACTCCAACCAACATAGCTGCGCAATAAATACCCAGAATAGATATAAAAGTTCTACTAAAAAGTTATAGTACGTAATACATTGAAAAAGGTAGCCCACATACAAATATAAAAATCTGCATCTCAACAATCCAAAAATCCACCAAAATATTTCCTTTTCCCACATGTAATACTCAAATCCCACAAAAAAAAAAAAAAAAAAAAATACACATGGGCGCGCAATGCAAAAAAGGTTACCTGTTCTTCACCCATGAGATCCTGCAACCGAGCTTTAAGCTCAGGTCCATGTCTCCCACCACTTTTAGCATTAATAAACACAACCAACGGCGATTCACACGGCTCCGGAACCTCAGCCCCGTCGGCGTGAGCCATATCAAAATGCCGCTTCACGGAATCAACGTCCTTATTCTGAATCGCTTCTCTCATCGCTACCCTTAAATACTCCGGCATCGTAATCCGTTTTCTCAAATCCTCCTTATGTATCGTTACCCCTGTACATCCCATTATTGAATCTATCACCGACGATCTCGCCGACGACGTCGTCGCCGTGTTCCGACTCGTTGATAAATCTGTTGCTGTCGACTCCGGCGAACCCATGTCAAATGACTAATTTACCCCTCCTTCCCCTTTTTTTAATTGGTTAATTAAAGCCTATAATGTGTTGGATTATTATTTGTACAGGAGGAGGAGGAGGAGACGGGTGGGGTGTTTTGGGTAGGGGTGGGGTGGGAAAGTGGAGATGAGGAAAGGTATTGGATATGGCGTTTGAATTTGGTATAAGAATAGAATATTTTTAAATTAATATTTGAAGAAATGGAAATATTTGAAAAAGAATGTTGAGTTTGGAATAATTTTTAAAATAAATACCTGTCATATTTTGTGACCCTTATTAAAGATAATAATAATTAAGATTTAACTTCTATTAATACAATATATAAGAGTTTAAGTTTTTTATATATTGATAGTACAAAATTTAATATTGTTACTGCATATAATATAAATTTATATATATTAATATGGATGAAAGATAACATTAGCATAGTGAGTGAAATGATAATAAACATATTTAAAATGTGAAATAATTTAATCATTTTAAAATACTGAACTTTTGAAAATTATGTAAAATATGCCGATGTCAAATATTTTAATTGTTCAAATTAAATAGTTTCATATAAAATGGATAAAATGATAGATTTAGAACACTTTTATCTTTTGTATTACTATTTATTTGTAAAATTTGTTCAGAGATCACTGATTTTGAGTCCATCTCTCTAACTTATTATTTGTCGATCAATCAGTCATAGATTACCTAACTTTCTTATAATAATTTAATGTTAATACTTTTATTTAATTTTACTTTTCAGTCTTTGCTATCTTGAGCTAGATGAATAGCTAGTAGTTACGAGCAACAATCCCTTAATTATATAGATAGAATAGGATATAAAGATACATGTTACATCTACTAGAAATTGAAAAATTAACGGAATAACGAATTAAATGAGAGTACGTAGTCCATCTATTTAATGGTTTAATGATGTTTTTGAAGATTTACCAAATTTCTATGCTATGTTAATTTTTTCAATTAATCTAATACGATTTGATCCAGCTCACTTGTTGTATTAATTTATGTAATATTCGATACTTAAAATATAATTATAATCTTGTCATTAAAATTCATCTTAATATTCGAGAATTTGTCATTTTATTGGGCATGCCGCATGCCATGTTAATATTTTGCAAAAATGAAATAGGACTTTGATCCAACTCATTTGTCTTATTAACTTTGTAAGATTATAAAATTAGAATATATTTTAATAATGTAGCCATTGAGTGCATCTTAATTAATGGTTTACTGAACCAGTTGCTTTCAGGGTCCTTTATTTTGTTGGGCAACTATGTTAACCATTTTCAACAATTATAGGAATTTGATCCAATTCAACTATTATATTAATTTATGTAATATTTAAAACTTAAAATTTTAATCGCCACTTACATAATAAATTGATTTTAGTTACTAAACAAAAAATGAATATTGTGCTAGTTCATCTTAGAGAGGGGTAATAGGCTGTGAACAAAGGGAATTTAATCGCTAATATAAGTCGTGGTTGCTATAGATCCACCTCCGCTAAAAAAAGAACCACTAAGTCTCCTAATTATATTTGTGGGTTAAATATTTTACACGGCAAATCAATCTAGAAAAGAGAATAAGACCTATTTTAACACTCTATGAGAGTGCATTATTTTAACACCTCATCTGCTACAACATCTTCCATCTCCTTTTTATTTATTTATTATTATTCTAATATAACCCAATTATTTTCGTTGAATATTTATTTAGCTCATTTTGATTCAAATGTAGGATATTCCATCTGTTTCTTCTTGAAATCCCCGCGAACGATGGTGGAGCCGTCCTACAAAGAAAAAATCCAATAAATCAAAAAGGCTGTACAAAGGTAAAATTACTGATATATAAAGATTTTTTTGATCTAGTCAGTGTATATAATTAAACTCTAATTAAGTTAAATCAATAAAATATTTATCTACATTTCTACACTTAACTTTTATATTAGACCAAATAATTTAAGCTTAGTACTTATTATTTCCTCCTTTATAGATGATTTTAACAATTCTATACAACCAAGCTTCTAATATGATAAATACTTTCCTATTCAACAAGTTGTATTTGTCAAATGCGATTATAAAATGCATGCATATGCGGCCTATAAGTTGCATTCAATAAATACGTTTTATTTAAGTGGCTCAAGTTTTGTAAGTGTTGTTGCATTCACCAAGTGATAAATCGCATTCACCAAATGCGATTTATAAGTCCATTCGCCAAATGCTTTTTATTGCATTAAACTAAATACATATATTCCTTTTCAGTTATATCTAGAAATTTTTTTAAGCGGCATTAGCTAGGGCTGTGATCGGATCGGATTTGGATTTCGGATTCTAAAAAATGCAATTTGAATCCGATCCGAATTAATATCGGATTGGATTTTCGGATCAGTTATTGTGCCTCAAAGTTGCAAACTCATATGTATATTTTCTTTGTATAAGAGGCAATACAGTAAGAAAAATTCATGTTTCGACAATTATGATAGTACTATGGTACCAATATAGCTAAATCCAGCAATTGTAAAGGTAATAACTTGGAGGAAGATGTAAAGGAAGTACCGACTTTCCGAAATTAAAGTTTAGTATTTATATATGCTCTAATAATTTCTAATTTCAGATCGGATCGGATTAAAATTACCAATCTGAATCCGATCCGAAACCCGAAATTTTAATAAACACAATCTGAAATCTGATCCAATCGGAAATCCGAAATTGAACGGATCGGTTCGGATCTCGGATATCCGATCCAAATGAACAGTCCTAGCATTAGCCTTTATAAATCGCATTCTCTAAATGCTATTTAGAAGTCTGTTCTTCTATATTTCTGAGTCCCTTCTCCTACTTTTTTCGATCCCCTCATACAATTGTTGATCCTTTCTCTCACTCACAACACAGATTTTATTCTAACTCATTTCGCTTTTCTTACAAATCTTGCACGTAACGTTGGAATATTTAAACCTATATACTCTTCAAATTGCTACTATTTTGACACATAGTATATTTTGCAATATGTAAATTTTATTTTAAAAATATGTCCGAGTTTACACAGAAAAATAGTCAGCTTGATCCTCGTAATTTGATGTAAATACTAGATATATTCAAGTAACTTTTGTATGGATTAAATCCTTACACTTGATCTTTTGGATGAGGGAGCATAATCATAGCTTCATCAGCACAGCTTCTTAGAGCAGCTTGTGAAGGACATGACCCAAAGCTAGTGTCATTCATACCAGTACACAAGGTAAGCTCATTCAAGTAAACATGAGTATTATATGTTGGTATTGGAAAACAAGTGAGGTAAATATTAGAGTAATTTTCACAAATCACTATTGTTTAGTGGTTATTAGCTAGTTGTAGCTATCATTTACTATATTACTTCCTATAGCTATATTTTCAGGTTTTTTAGAGTGTATTCGATGTATTTAAGCTACTGTATTCATGAATACAGTAGCATTTCTCGGCGTGAAACAGGGGATTACAGCTAGACAGATTATTGTATTCGACTGTATTCACGGCGTGAAACAGGGGATTATAGCTAGACAGATTATTGTATTCGACTGTATTCACGATATGTATTTGTGAATACAGTAACGTAAATAGCGCAATTCATGGTCTATTCAGCTGTTTTTAAACGGAAAGTGAATCAATTAACATAATAGACTCCTAATATAACTCAAACTCAATTATAACACACAAAATTTGTATTTCCAGTTATAAAAAAGATTCTCAATCTAAAAACACCCCAAAAACATAGCAATCTTCGGAGAAATTATATAATTACATTGAATACACTTAAATACATAAAAATACATTGAATACATGAAGTATAGCAGGTCATCTACAGTGCAAAAATATAGGAATACATACTGCAGATACATTTGAATACATATATACATTTGAATACATAAATTATATTAATTAAAAAAAATATATGAATACATTCATGGAATATAGCGAGACAGTGAATACAATGAAATAGATGGAATAGCGGGATACATTGAAATACAATGAATACAATGAAATACATAGAATACAGCGAGATACATTGGAATACAATGAAAAAAAAGGTAACAGACTCTTCAAGTTGCTCAGCCCCAAACTCCGTCGTCTTTGCTCAAGAACAATCCTAATGTCGTCTCGTCAAGAGGGCCGCGACTCAAAACTCTCAAAATTTGGCGCAAAAACGAAAGAAATTCCTTATTTTCAATAGCAGATTGTCTTCTTTTGTTAGTAATTGCAAATTTGGTAGATGAAGAAAAGCAGCAATGGAGGTGGTGAGAGGCAAGAGTTCCAGTGGCCATGTCCAGATTGAGAAGTCAAAAAGCCAATTTACCTTGTCAATTTGGGACCAAAAGAAAAAACCTCCACTTATTCGAGACACAGGCAACACAAGTGTATCAAAGTCTATCACAAGTTCGATAGTGTTATAAATCCTGCAAATGTTTTCATCCACTTGCAACGATGGATGTCTTCCATAACAGTTTCAGATTGGTTATGTATCCATAACAGGTTTTAGATTGGTTATGTATTCAAAACAGGTTTTAGATTGGTTATGTATCCAAAACAGGTTTTAGATTGGTTATGTATTCATAACAGGTTTTGGATTAGTTTTGTAACAATGAAATATTTCTATAAATAGGTTCACTGATGAACCTATTCCATACTCAAAAACGAAGAAATAAATCCTTTCTTCTAATGTTATCATTCTCTTCTATTATTAGTCCTAGTTAATTACATAGTTCTTGCTATATTTCTTTTATTCCATAACACGTTATCAGCACGACTAGAGTACTACCATAAAAATATTATGGCCAGGTGCGTGTTCATATCATATATCATCGTACAGATGAAAGTATTTGACAGAGCAATATACTTATTTATACTGGTCTTGTGATAGTTTCAACATTATTTTAGTTATACAATTAGTTGCATAAGTAAGCCTACTTGATCCTTACAGAGGCATTTTGTCCCTTGAATCCTCTATATTATTTCGTAACTAACAAAGTTCAGATGTGTATTCCGTTTGAATTTGCAAAGGGCTTGAGTAGACTACATTCTCATACTTTCGTTGCATAAAACTTATTTTTCAACGTGAAGGCATATTAGATTTTCTTAAACATAAGTATGAAAATCTTAATTGT